AACAGCTGGGCAGTTTCAAACTGCTGACCTTGAGGTTAGCAGCCTGACTCATAACCACTGCACTAGCAGAGCTCCTTGAAGAAGTTGGTAGATTTCTTCAATTTCATCATCGATGGCTTTAGTGGTTGGTGTGTAAATTTGAATAATAGTGGTATTAACTTATCTTCATCTAGGAGTATAGATATTATCGTATCACAGACAGCATTGTACTTCAAGATAGATCTTGAAATGCTCTTTTTAATGATGATTGTGACACCATTATTCTTAGATTTGTCATCTCTGCATAGTAACCATGTGATTATCAGATTTTAAAATGACCAATACCACTTACCAATCCATTTCAGCACATGTCTAGGATGGAGTCCTTGTGTGGCACTGTGGGATAGGCACTGGACTGCAAGGTCAGTTTGAACCACAGTCTTACCAGCCAATTCTCATAAACCCTAGACAGGGTCACTATGAGTTGACCCTGAACAATAACAATGCCTAGGATATCGATGTTTATTTATTCAATTTGATTTTTGACAAATTCCAAATTTCCTAGATTCATACTTCATAATTCTATGTCCAATTGTTAACGGGTGTTTACAGCTGCTTGTCCTTATTTTGAGTTGTGCCCCGAAAGCTGTACTCCATTCACATCATCATGGTCAGCTTTATCTTGAGGAGGCAGGTCTACCCTAGTCGTATTTTGAGTGGCTTCCAACTTGAGGAGCTCGTTTTCTAGCACTATATATGACAATATTCTGGTGCTCTATATGTTTCAATATTCAATAATCTGGTGCTGACAGTTTTCCACTGCTATTTATAAGGTTTGCAGTGACTACATTTTCAGAATTAGTCTTTCTCTCCTTCTTCCTAGTCTGTCTTAATCTGAAGTCTCAACTGAAACCTGTCCACCATGGGTGGCCCTACTGGTATTTAAAATACCAGTGGCATAGCTTCTGGAATCACAGTAACCTGCAAACCTCCACAGTACAACAAAGTGACAGATGAGTGGTGGGGCAAAAAACAAAGGACTCCTTACTCATATATAAGCAAGGATAAGGAAATAAAGCCAACATGCTAATTTTAAAATGTAACAAGTATTAAGAGTCAGACTCCTTTTGCTGAAGTGTACTTGTCTTAATTACTTATTCAGAGGAGCTGCACAGAGCTATCAGTAGATGAGAAAATAAGCCTTTTACTGTGGTGACATGTTTTAGTTTTTATTTCTTTGAAAGAAACTCACATGTTGAATGGTAGTGGTATAATGTAGCAATTTAAAAGAATTGAGTGTATCTTGTAAATTAATATTAATACTGTTTCCTTTGTCCCTCTTTTGTTTTATTTTTTCTTATTCTTCTTCCAAAAGGCTTTTGAAATATTTGAGGCATTAAAAAATATTAGTCTGAAATAACACCATCTGATTATTTCACACTGCCACTTATTCCCCGAGGGCACCAAACACTTTCTAAAATACTGACCCTGGGGGGACAATATCATAGAGCAATGATAACAAAAAGCTCACTTTCTAACTAGACCACTCAAGTGTGGGGGAAAATCATTCTAGCAAAGGAGAGGGCTGTGACATATGTTAAGAGGACCTAGCAAGCCATTGTGAGCTGGAAATCAAGAGAGCCAGGAAGGAAGTAATGAAGTTGTCTCTAATTTGCTCTGAGTAAGTCGGATCCCATGCAGAAGTTTCAAGGGTAATTTTTGCAGGGTATGACTTACATTTTAGAAGAATTTGTTTAGCTGTTTATTGAGAAGATAATACAGAGCAAATGGTGGGGTTGTGGAGAGTGGAAGTAGAGAGATCACCAGTTAATAAGCTGGTAGTTCAGACCAAGATGGTAACAGAAAAATTGAGTGGAAGTGGTTGGCTTTTAGTTATGTTTGGGTGGCAAGACCCAAAATTTGGCTGATGGAGTTGAAGTAGTATGGAACAAAAAGGAATAAGCAAAACTCCAACTTCATTTGCCAGAGGAATTAAAAAAGTAGAATTGCCTTTAACTGACTTGGCAAAAATATGTATCACATTTTGGGAAGTTCAGTTCAGGTTTGGGCATGTTATATTTGAGATACAGCCATCATTCGTCTGTCAGTTTGCCATACTGTGATGGGTTGTATGTAGCTGTGATGCTGAGAGCTATGCTCCCAATATTTCTAATAAGAGCAGGGCCACCCATCATGGACAGGTCTCAGTAGAGTTTTCAGAATAAGACAGACTAGGAAGAAGGAGAGCCAGAACACTTCTGAAAAAAACTGGCCACTAAAAATCTTATAACTAGCAACAGAACATACTGTTACATAGTGCCAAACAGATGAGCTCCTCAGGTTGGAAGGCACTCAAGATATGACTGAGGATGATCTGCCTCCTCAAAGTAGAGTCAACCTTAGTGACATGGATGGAGCAAAACTTTCAGGACCTTCATTTGCTGATGTGGCGAGACTCAAAATGAGAAGAAACCATTGCAAACAGCCGTTAATAGTTGGAACATGAAATGTACAATGTATGAATTTAGAAAAATTGAAAGCCATCAAAAATGAGATGAAACATATAAAGATTGCTATCATAGGCATTAGTGAGTTGAAAAAGGAGTTCTGGTAGTGAAGTGGTGACGAGTTGGGTTGCTAACTTCAAGGTCAGCAGTTCAAAACTACCAGCCATCCCATGGGAAGAAAAATGAGGTTTTCTGCTCATGTAAAGATTTACAGCCTCAGAAACCCTAAACAGAGTCGCTATGAGTCGGAACTGACTCCACAGCACATAACCACCACCACCTCCAGTGATCTGAAAAAGGAGCCTTGGTAACTTAGTGGATTATGAGCTGGGCTGCTAACTGCAATGTCACTGGTTCAAACCCACCAGCTGTTCCTCAGAAACCCTATACAGGGTTATGACTCACAGTTAACCTATGTAGGGTTTCAGAGGCTGTAAATCTTTATGGGAGCAGAAAGCCTCATCTTTCTCCCTTGGCCCATATGGTAAATTCAAACTGCTGACCTTATAACCCAACTTGCAACTCACTAAGCTACCAGAACTCCTTCTACTGTGTCTTATAGGGTTGAATTGACTCTAGAACACATAAGTTGGCAAATATGAGTCTAGAGTTCTGGGAAAGAGTCTGACTGCAGAAATAATTTTGGTGTTTTTCAGCTTTGTTCTTTCTTAAACCCTGCAACCAGGCATGATCATTGATGAATGTAGGCAGAGAAAAGGTGCAAGGATTGTGCCTGGAGCACTGTAACATTACTTGTTGGAGTTGAAATGCTTCAGAAAAATTGGAGTATATTGAGAAGGAGTGAAACCAGGATAAAGTGTTTCAAGGAGATATCACCTGCTTCCAATGTTGTTGACAGATTAAATGACTCAATGAGAAGTGACCATTGGAATTTCACAAAGTGTACTGGAAAGGGGCACAAAAACATAATTGCAATTAATTTCAGAGAAAATAGGAGAATTTGAATCAGCTAGTAATCCCTTGGTAGCACACATGCTGTTGTGGAAACTATTCATCTGTAATGTAATAGAAAGGAAGGCAGAGTACATGAAGAAAAGATGAGAGGATATATTAGGGCGAATTATGGAAGTTCCTTTCTAGCTGATTCATTTTATTTAGAAGTTAGAAAATAAGATTATCAGCTCAGCAGGGAATAGGAAGGAAGCCATAGGGAATTGGTGTTGGAGGTTTGCAGAGAAAGTAGCTGCTAACTGAAAGAGTGACAGTTCAAGTTTACCCAAATGTACCTCAGAAGAAAGACCTGGAAATCTACTTTCCAACATTTTGCCATTGAAACCCATATGGAACACAGTTCTACTCTGACACACAGATGGGGTTACCGCAAGTCAACATCAACTTGAGAGTAACTGGTTTTTAGTATATAGAATTTTTCATAGAGTTTTGTTAATAGGGGAGTTGAGAAAACCAAGAGGTGGAAAGGGACATGAGATCAAGTCGGGCTTATTAAATGGTGAGTGTAATTGTGAAATAATAGCATGTTTGTATGTTGATGAAATAGCTCAGTAAAGAACAAGAAATTGTTGTCTAAATATGAACGGGCTTCAGAAAAATCTATTAAAAAAAAGAATAAAAAGATCAGGGAATTTCCCCACAAATTTCATATTTGTGTAGTTAGAAGACATTTGTGTTTCATAAGTACACGTAACATAAGAGGGGTTGGCCTTGAGAGTGTGGAAACTATTCAACTATAATGTAATAGGAGGCAGAGTGTATGGGTAAAAGATGAAGAGATATGTTAGGGGGATTTATGGAGGTTCCTTTCGAACTTCTTCATTTTATTTAGACTTTAGAACATAAGATTATCAGTTCAGAATAGGAAATGGGAAGAAAGTCATTAGGGAATCAACTGGTATGTAGAGAAAAAGTATAAGATTTAATTCATGTTTAAGAGACAATGGATAATAATATGGTTTAGGAGCAAGGTTTCTCAGGCTTGGCTTTATTGACACTTTGGGCCAGATACTTCTGTTGTATGAAGCTGTCCTATACTTTTTAGGATGTTTAGTGTATCCCTGAGTACCCATGAAATGGCAGTATACCTTCTTTTACAAGTCTAACCAAAAAGTTCTACAAACATAATCAGATGCACCTTTGGGACAAAAGTGCCCTAAGTTGTGAAACACTGGGCTAGGGAAAGGTATGATTGTCAGCAAGTATTAACAGCCTAGTTGAGATTCGTGGTCATGAATTTAACATGTGCTCTGTCAGCATAGTTCTGTTACATTCAGCTGCATGGGTCCAGGCACAGAATAGTCAAAAAGCTGTAACCAGGGCTGTGGTTCTGCCAGATGAGTACAATGAAGAGAGGAGAGTCAGGGAGTGGTTTTAATAGTTAATCAGTACATTGAAAGTGGATGAAAGTGAGAAAAGAGATGCTAGGATACATAGATTGTAAGTACACTTGAGGTTAAAGGATTAGTATAATAGAAATTCTAAAAGAAGTGATGTAATGTTAGGGATTTTCAAAATAATCTACTCTGTGTTGGTGTCTAGGGAGAAAATCTCAGATGGAGGAAGTACAGGATGAGCTCATCCACAGACTCACCATTGGTCGGAGTGCTGCTCAGAAGAAGTTCCATGTGCCACGGCAGAATGTGCCAGTTGTGAATATCACTTACGACTCCACGCCTGACGATGTGAAGCTATGGTTACAGTCAAAGGGCTTCAATCCTGTGTAAGTCTTCCTGGGAACAGGTTATAGTTTTTTGTGTAAAGCATGCATTGTTCTCATTTTGGTCCCTTACATGTCACAAATGGAGCTCTGGTGTGCATAATCACTGGGCCACAAGGTTGGTTTGAACCACACAATCAGCAGTTCAAACTCACCAACTGCTCCTCAGAAATCTTATACAGGATTGCTATGAGTTGGAATCGACTCAATGGAACTTAACAACTTGTCACAAATGACTCTTACAACACATAAGACTTGAGACTGCATTTTCTATATACTCAGGAAAATGACTATAGCTATTTATAGCTAAAAGAATTGGCAGAGGCAGAAATAATTATCATTCATTGGCAGCTGCAAAGATGGTGTGAGGGTCTTGTTTGACTTCCTCTGGCCTTACAAGGAGAGAAGGAGAATCAAACTCAAAACCAGCCCAAGACAGATTCCTATGAAGCGAAGGTCAGACATACCTCCACCCTACAACCTTCTCTACCCTATTCTGACACCAACCATCTCTCCCCTAGCACTCTCTACTTCACACTTGGGTTCCGTAATCCATTGCAATGACCACACAGAACTCATAAGAACACTCACGATTATGGGGTTTATTAGGGAAGTGAATAGGGTACAGTTCAAGATCAAAACCAACTCAGGCTGCAGCAGTTTTCCCATCAGGAGTGCCTCTTTTGTGCTGTACTGCAGGTGCAGACACATCACACTCTTGTCTTAGGCCTGTCAGCCATGTGGCCCCTTGACCTCTGTGCTGTTGGGGCAAGTGTCACAAAACTCTCTTAGCCAGTCAAGCCAGCCTCCTGCCCGTAGGCACTTAAATGTATTCAGTCAGTGGACCTAGAAACCCTCAGCCGCTTTGTCTCTCCAGGCCACCGCCTCTGCCACCACCTCTGCTGTCACCACTTTTCTAGGTAAGGATCCACTCATGTGCTCTCCTCTCTTCATGGTCCTGGGATTGTGTTCCTGCATCTGACATGGCTGCTCTTAAACCTAATACGATGGCCACACTAACCAACCCCAGTGTTAGAGTCATGTACACCCTATTTGCATGGACCCACAAAAACACGGTGGGAATTAAGATGTTGGCTAGAAAGCCATATCAAGGTACTTCAGGGTACCACAGTGGTCCGCTTTCTAGTTGAAGGTATCGCTCATCTTTGATCACTTAAACAAAGAGCAGCTCTGAGGCCTGGTAGCCTTCTTTCCTACTACTCAGGTTTTATTGGTAGGACTATGGCCTTTCCAGGAGTCCTGGTGTGGTGCTGTAGGATAAACACTGGACCACAAGATCAGCAGTTCTAACCCACCAGCTGCTCCTCAGAAACCCTGTACAGGGTGATTATGAGTCAGAACCAGTTTGACAGCACTTAACAACAGAAGAGTCCTGGTGTGGCGCTGTGGGTTAATGAGCCAGACTGCAAAGCCATTTGAACTACAAGATAGGCGGTTCAAGCTCACCAGCTGCTCCTCGGAAACACTATGCAGGGTCGCTAGGGGTCAGAACTGACTCGACGGCACTTCACAACAACAATAATAGCATAGCCTTCCCTTACGGGCTATAAAGCATAATATTTCCTTCTGCTGTAGAATATAATATTGCAGCCAAAAGAAAAAAAGATAACTTGACCTATCATAGATTATAACCTGAAAGAACTTTTCCTCTAATAGAGCACATTGTAAAGGCTTTATTACCTATAATCTAAAAATGTATAAACATTATATGTGTTTGGTATAGAGAACTACTTGAATATAGACATTCAAAGGACCTTAATTATAGAAGTCCTGGTGGCATGTTGGGTTAAGCACTGAACTTGCTAACTTCACAATCAGCAGTTTGCACTTACCAGCAGTTCCAAGGAAGAAAGATAAGTGAGTCTGCTTCCGTTCAGATTTATAGCTTGGAAACCCTAGAGAGCTGTTCTGCTCTATCCTAGGCAGTCATTATGAGTTAGAATCAATTCTATGTTTTTTTGGTTTTTGACATATTTTAAACTTACTTACTTAGCATCAGGGCTTTAAACTGGTCCTTGCTGGTCAGACCCCTGCTGAGAATTTGCATTTCCACCCCAGACATTCTGAATCAGAATCTATACTTTAACAAATTCCCAGGTGACACTCCTGAATACATAAGAACATAAGAGTCACCTAGAGGTCTTGTTCAAGCATGCATTCTGATTCAGTATGTTGTGGTTATTAAGTGCCATCGAGTCGTTTCCAACTCATATTGACCTTTTATAGGGTTTCTGTGGAGCGGTAGGTGTGGTTCAAACTGATCTTACTGTCTAGTGCTTATCCTACAGGGCCACACTAGAATTTCTGATTCAGTATATCTGGAATGAAAATGCAAATTTTCAACAAGAGTACAAACCAGAATGAAACAGTTGGAAGTCCTGTCCATCATAGTTAGAAAAATGATATACATTAGTTAGTCAAATGCCTAGTTATTAGAAAGTGATTGATTCCTTCTATGAAATACTAAATTTCAAGGAAGATGAATTAAGCATAATACACAATGACAATACTAAACGCAGTTTACCCCTTTCTGGTACTTTATAATCAATGATCATGTTTTGCCCCAGGCTCCTCACAATGAAATTCTTTTGTCATTGTCCTTGACAGAGCACTATGATGCCATGTAGTAAGATTTTCATTTTATGGAATGCTAGAAAAGAGCAGTTACTAGCAGAACCAGAAAACTTTCTTGCTTTTATTTTTTCTTTAAGTAATATTTTTCAATGTTACGTTTTTTCTTTTTCAGGACTGTCAATAGTCTTGGAGTATTAAATGGTGCACAACTTTTCTCTCTCAATAAAGATGAACTGCGGACAGTCTGCCCAGAAGGGGCGAGAGTCTTTAGCCAAATCACTGTACAAAAAGCTGCATTAGAGGTAAGACTTGTCAGCCTAATGCCGTGGTTTTCTGCATTGGTCAAGAGTGCAAACTGTGACTCGAGGGCTTGGGAAACAACTGTATGTGTCCATACTGGCCAATGCCCCCCTTTTACAGAGCTGAATTTAAATTTGACTCTGCTTTTGCAGTTTTTCACTGGAAATCACTAATAATCATTAGCAGGGAGATTGATTTGCAGCAAATGCTCATGCAGCAACAAGCTTGAACATATACTTTTGGACATTTAAAAAAACAGTGTACTATTTTTATTGTATGTTGCATTAACTACTTTTTTAGGCATTTTAGTCTTGGCACAATAATGGGCATTCGTTTCTGAATAAATACCTTGAAAAGCCAGAACACTTTTGCCTCTTGTTAATATTTAGTTCAGAGTTTTTAATAGGTTATAATTAGTTAAGCATGTGGGTGAGTGTCTTAGGCTTGGTTATATGCTTAAATAATTGGAGCAAACATTAGGTAAGGATTATTGAAAACTGAGAGCACTTAAGAGAAAGTCTTGCTGCCTGTATGAAAGCAAGGGAACAAATGTTTTCTAGATTGGATATACTTAAGCTTCCAAAATTCTGCTTTACTTAAAATGAGCTGAAGAAAATGAGTAGTTCCACGTTGTTATATCTCACAGGTCTTAATTTCATGAAAATTATACTGGCACCTAATAAAAGGTACAGAATTTGGAGTAAAATTGGCACACAATTCATTTTTACTGGCATATAATATAAATACAACAATTCAATAATCCAGACTACAATAGTGTGTATAGCCCTGTAGCCATTCTCAACTTCCCTTAGAAGTTTTTCCCAAACCATTTCTTTTGGGAATTTAAGTCCTAGTGTGATGCTCTACAATCAACACTAGACTGCAAACCACAAGCTCAGCAGTTCAAAACCACCAGTTGCTTATTAGAAACCCTACACAGAGTCACTTTGAGTCTAAATCACTTAACAACAACAGTCATAGGGTTTAGAGCATGTGGCTCTGTAGGATATGCACTGGACTGTGAACCACGAGGTCAGTGGTTTGAGCCCACCAAACACTCCATAGGCAAAAGATGAGGATTTCTGTTCCAGCAAAGATACAGCCCCAGAAATGCTATACAGGGTTGCCATGTGTTGGAACTGACTCAGTGGCACTTAACAGCAATAAATGGAACCTTAGAGTTTGCTGTGTGAAATATATATAAGGATTGCATCTTTTCTAAAGTAGTTTTGTTACTGTGATGCATTCTAACTATACTGGGAATGTGTAAATTACTTTTAAGGGTATGATTGAAAATTCCATACTTTTTTCCAATTATTTTTTTCAGTCCAGTACTATCTTTGTCATTTGCCTTCAGCACCGTTTTATCAGTGTCTCTTATTGCCTTTACCTCTTGAGTAAATAAAGCATTTCTCAGCAAATTTCCCACCTCACCTTTCTCTTGGATCCAGCTCCGTCTTTTAGTTGAATCCTCTGAGATCTCAGAGACATCCATAGATGATAGTGGAACAAGGCTGGTACAGAAGGATTCTATGTAGGGATGGGAAAGGAGAAAAACCAGCCTGACGTTGGAGGTCAGAACTAGATGGTGGGAAACTTGGCATGCTCCCAGCCCATTCTGTTCGGTCCCAATTTAAAATCTAAAGGGAGATGAGAATCATGCTTGCGCTCAACCAGGGTTCTCTGATAATTTACTAATTTACTGAGTTGAATGTATACACATCCTTTTTCTCCCGGGATCCAGAGCATTCCTCATATATTAATGATTTGTAGCTATCACATTCAAGTGAAAGATGTGGGGGGCTGAATTGCTTTGAGACACTTTATAAATGAAAAAGTTATTAATGTGACATGTTAGTAAAGCCCAGGAGCATTACTTATATGAGGGGCAGCCTTCAGTTTTTCCCAAGAGATCTAAAAGAAACACACAAAGGACTTTTCCCATGAGCTATTTCATTACACAACCTTCAGCCTACACAAACCATTAACCATCTTGTCTGAATCATATTTATTTTTCAGGATAACAATGGCAGCTCCGAGTTGCAAGAAATTATGCGAAGACGACAAGAAAAAATCAGTGCTGCTGCTAGTGATTCAGGAGTGGAATCTTTTGATGAGGGAAGCAGTCACTAATTTGTTTGTTTGTTATTAAACTTCATTATTCTTGGCATTATTCCAACGTGCTTTGTTTTAAGAAGCCATGAAGGGAATGTCAGATTTTTAATTTCTTGATATAGTTAATTTATCACCATAAAGAAACAATGCAAACCTGAGTAAGCAGATCATTTCCTTTGGGCCCACCCATTATTTTTATTAAAACTGAAAATTTTTAAACTGAATTTACAGACCTTGAGATATATTTTGCCTATTTTCACCAAGGTGAATTTTTCTTTACTGGATTAATTATTTCATCCAGATCTCAATGTATAATCAGGAATTTTTTGACAATGGTGAGTTTATTTATTATGACACAGCATAGATATTGCCCATGATTTAAAATCTAAGCAATTTCGATTGGGGCTGTCATACAGTGATTGTCATTTCATTTGTAGCTCACTTTAGGCTAGACTCTTCCTTCTCAGGTTTTTTCTTTGGCACGCTCACTGATAGAATATTTAGACTTATTTAAAGTTCTTAATGCCAACAGTTTGAAAAATTAAAATATTTGAATGAACTGTAAGTACAAGGTCTTTTACATGCAAATATAAACGTATAGAGCATTCCCAAGATATTTTATTTATCATGGCTCTGTTGATCATATTCTTTGTATAGATTGTATTTTGATTTTGTTTATATTCTGCTTATTATGTATACTGCGTTCTTATATATGAGAAAGCACAAGTAGAGAAGGTGTCATAGTCACTCAAAAGCTGTCCAAGAAAGTAGCCTTTGTCAATGTGCTTTATAGTATTTTGCCTACTGAAGGTCTCAGTTCTGACTGTTGATATAAACAGTTAAAAAGAAATAGGGGCCATTTTATGTGTAATCTGTGTCAAGTTTTTCTTGTATAAGAAACAATTAATTTACACACATTTTAATCCTGTGAAAGATTATAGATAAAGAAAAGAAGGATATGTAACCATCAGCAAATGTTATTTTTGAAAACACAATTTTGTCATTAAATGTTGTATTATTTCACATATATAAAACAGATGTTATGTAAGAATGTTGTATATTTTAACATAAATCCACTTAGGGAGATTGCCTAGATTCATTAATTTTCATAGTGCCTTTTTCACATGAGTCAGCTGGAAAGTCCGCAATAAACAGTATTTGCTGTATGTTAATAAATAGTTTCTGTTTCTTTGATAAAAAAGCTTTTTGCTATTAGGAGTGGGAACCACAGTTGGCTGGAATGGAAGAAACAGAGTTCCACTTGTTTTTGTTTTCAGAGTAGTTTTCTAGTCTGTTTCTAAATGAACAAAATAGTCCAGAATGCTTTCTTTCTTTCCACCTCTCTTGTTTCTCTTCTTCCCATCTCTCTTATTTCATCATCTTTTCTTTTTGCTGTCTAACTAGTTGATCACAGTAGTAAAAACCTACGAGAGTAACTCAAATATTATCCGCAGTCTGGCCGTAAAATTTATTTTATTCAGTTTTTAGAAAAGACAAACACATTATTTCTCAATATAATCTCCTTGCTTTTCAACACGTTTTGCCCATCTGTCAACAAGCTTTCATATTCCCTTATTTAAAAAAATGTTTTAGGCTGAGCTGTGAGTCACGAATGCACCCCTGTCTTCACTTCGTCACCATAGGTGAATCTTTGTCCTTGCAGGGCTGCTTTCAGGGGACCAAACAGGTGAAAGTCTGATGGAGCAAGATCAGGACTATAGGGAGGATGTTTTAACATCTCAAAACGAAGTTTTTGCAGTGTCAACAGGGTGGGCAGAGATGTGTGGACATGCATTGTCATACAAGATCATAGCACCCTTGGATAGCAGTCCTCTGTGTTTAATCTGAAGTTTAGGCTTCAGCTCTTCAGTGAGCATCTCCCCATAATGACCACTGTTGATTGTTGAACCTTTTCCCGGTAATATTTCAATACTGGCCCTAGAGAATCCCAGGTAACTGTAAGCATCAATTTTCTAGTTGATGGCTGACATTTGAACTTTTTGTTGGTCAGCGATTGAGGATGTTTCCATTTCTGCTCTCTGCTGTTTACTCTCAGATCCATATTGATAAATCCATGTCTCTTCACCAGTAATGAATTTTTTTAAAGAAAAACTTTTACCATCCTTCAAGTATTGGTTCAAATTTTGTTTGCAGATGTCCAAACGCTTCTGTTTATGCTCGTCCATGAGTTTTTTCAGTATCTATCTCACACAAACTGTTCAAAACCCAAATCTGTCTTACTTCATAGGAAGAGTCATGGCTAATTTGCAAATGATTTGCCACATAATCCACTATCATTCGTCTTTTCTACAAAATCATTTTATGTGCACAATCAATGTTTTCATCAGCCATGGACGTGGACGGATGTTTTAATATAACTGGATAACTTTTGACTCACCCTACTTATGTAGCATGCATGATTGCTATGTGTGTCCATGTAATGCTTTATTAGATGTCTACAGTAACTCTATAAGTTGTATTTTTATAGATGAGGAGCCTTAGGTTTCCAGAGGAAATACATTTTATCAAAATCAGGCGGGAATTCATTCCTTCTCTGTGTTTCTGTAACATTGCTCCTCTAAACAATGATAAGAAAGAAAAAAGAAAAGTAACTTCAATATTTTCTAATTGATAAGCACTGACACAGTCATAATGTAACCTTTTTGAAAATCTAGGGATAGGACAAAAGAAAATAAGAAAATGTAGGGTAAGGTAAAATAATAGTTAAAATACCCTGTGTGTTAAGTAGTATATCTGGTAAAGAATTGATGTAATTTATGAGTATGTCTTATTGTATAAAATACCAAAGTTAAGTATCACATAGAGAAACTTCAGGACACATTTGCCAACTTTAGGGGTCTGGGGGCGAAGGGAAGAGTTATAGGATTAATGGAATTTAGAAACTTGAAGAAGAGGCCTTTTGGTGTTTGCATCTATACATCTCAGCAGTTTGCTATGGGTCTCTTAGAAGTTTGGAAGAAGGACTCCACAGAGCTGATAAATCTCAGAAAAAAAGCACTACATAGCTGATGCTGTTGACCCAGACATTGAGAACGTAATCCAGGTATTGGGAAAAGAATTAAGAAAATCCATAGAGCTAGATAGGAGTCCCTAAAGACAGCATGCTGGCCAGTTGGTGCTTGCATCTCTTGAGTGGGTACAATGGGTACAATGAGGCTGATTCTAGGAATGTGGGGATGCAATTAAAATGTCTATCTCAATGTCCTTGTTTAGTGGCTATGTGCTGTAGAGTCAGTTCTGACTCATAGAGACCATGTACAGGGTTTCCGAGGCTGTAAATCTTTATGGGAGCAGAATGCCTCAGCTTTCTCCCACAGAGCAGCTGGTACTTTCGTACTGCTGACCTTACGGTTTGCAGCCCAATTCATAGCCACTGTGCTACCAGAGCTCCTTGTTTAGTAATGTTATTAATAATTTCTGTGTTGGAGTCCTGGTGTGGCATCATAGGAAAAGCACTCAACCACAAGGTTGCTTTGAACTGCAAGGTTGGCAGTTCAAATTTACCAGCCGCTCCTCAGAAAATCTATACAAAGTTGCTGTGAGTTGAAACCAACTCAAAGGCACTTAACAGTAACAGTGTTGGTTTGATGGACTTAGTTTTTCTTCATTATGGCTTATTTTTTTGCTTCTTTGTATGCTTGATAATTTTGAATTGGATGCCCGGCATTCTGAATTTTATCTTTATATTAGGGGCTGGGTATTTTTGAATTTCTAGAAATATTTTTAAACTTTGTTTTGGGGTGCTGTTAAGTTACTTGGAAGGAATTTTATTCTATAACAATAAATTTGGCAGACAGCTACCTGACCAACCATTTGGAAGACATTTGTACCAATTCCAAAGAGAGGTGACCCAACAGAATATGGAAATCATCGAACAATATCATTAATATCATATACAAGTAAAATTTTTCGAAAGATAATTTAAAAAATAGTTTCAGCAGTACTTTAACAAGGAGCTGCCAGAAATTCAAGCCAGATTCAGAAGAGGATGTGGATCAAGGGACCTTGACTGAAAATAGAATACAAGAATGATGTTTTCTTGTGCTATATTGACTGTGAAAAGACATTTGATGGTGGATCATAACAAACTATATAATATTGTGAAGAATTGGCTATTCTAGAACACTTAATTGTGTTCACAAGAAACCTGTACACAGTCTAAGAGGCAATTGTTTGAACGGAACAAGGGAATACTGAATAGTTTAAAATCAGGAAAGGTATGTACCAGAATTGTATCCTTTCACCATACTTAGTCTGACCAAATAATCCGAGAAGCTGGATTATATGAAAAATAACAAAGCAATAGGACTGGAGGAAGGCTCATTAACAACCTGTGATATGCAGAGAGCACAACCCTATTTGCTGGAAGTGAACTTAAAAAACTTCCTGATTAAGGTCAGTGACTCCAGCGTTCAATATGAATTGCACCTCAGTGTAAAGAAAACAAAAATCTTTACATCTGGAACAATAGATAACATCATGATAGACCAAGAAAACATTGAAGTTGTCAAAGACAACTTGGATCTACAATTAACACTCATGGAAGCAGTGGTCAAGAAAGCAAAGAAGATACTGCATTTAGGCAAATCTTCTGCAAAAGACCTTTTTAAAGTATAAAAGAACAAAGACTAAAGTTGGTCTTTATATTTTCTGTTATCTCTTTTACATGTGAAAGTTGAATAATGAATAAGGAAGACCCAAGAAGAATCAATACGTTTGAATTAGGGTTTTGTTGGAGAATATTGAAAGTCCAAGGATGACAGAAGAACAAACAATTCTGTCTTAGAAAGTGTACAACAGAATGTTCCTTGGAAGCGAGGGTGGTGAGACTTTGTCTCTCATAATTTGGATGTGATGTTAGGAGGGACCATTCCCTGGAGAAGGACATCATACTTGGTTAAGTGGAGGGTCAGTGAAAAAGAGGAAGATCCCCAAAGAGATTGATTGATACAGTGGCAGCAACAATGGGCTCAAACATAACAGTTGTAAGCTGGCACAGAATCAGGTTCATTCTCTTGCGCCTAGGGTCACTGTGAGTCAGAACTCACATGATGGCACCCAACAACTGCAACAAGAGCAAGATGGAGTCTGATTGGCATTTACCCAGTGTAAGTCAATATCTTTCCATTATTATTGTTGTTGTTGCTAGGTGCCATCGAGTTGGTACCGACTCATAGTGACCTTATGCACAGCAGAACGAAACACTACCCAATCCTGGGCCCACC